AGAAACTCTGCCCATTGTCCCTCGCCGGCGCCTGGGATCGAACCCAGGACCACAGGATCACAAGTCCCGCGTGCTGTCCGCTCGGCCGACCGGCTCCCCGACTAGGTAGAAATAGCCAACGAATTATGATAATTCAGAAGCAATTTCAGTATGACATTCATGCTTAAATAAATCAATAAAAATATATGTATATCTGTTACCTAGCAGTAAATAGGTACTCGGGAGTTAGTCAGCTGTCACGGGCTGCTTCCTGGGGGTGGAGGCCTGGTCGAGGACCGGGCCGCGGGGACACTAAAAAGCCCCGAAATGATCTCAAGATAACCTCAAGATATGTATTTATACATTATATGATTTTCTTAATAATGAACAGTGTTGCTCGAGCTCACTTGAGACAAGAAAATAATCTCTGACGACAATATTGAGACCGATCGACGTCCTAGAAACCAAAGTTGGCACTTTGCCAGATTACCATATACCATTTTCAAAATTACGTCCCTGTACCATGACCCTTTATTATATATACTCTAAATAGTTTATTAAGGGAAATTATTTTAAGCATTATTCACTCTTTCACACAATTATTTTGCCATACTTCTTGCAGGTATGTGTGTGTACAAAGTTGAAACATTAATTGCAAGTGCAGGCGATGAGTCACAATAACGTGGCTGAAGTATGTTGACCAGACCACACACTAGAAATTGAAGGGACGAGACGTTTCGGTCCGTCCTGGACCATTCTCAAGTCGATTGAGAATGGTCCAGGACGGACCGAAACGTCTCGTCCCTTCAATTTCTAGTGTGTGGTCTGGTCAACATTAATTGCAAGTGATTGTAATCCATGATTGCCCTCAACACTCTCCTTAGACCACACCTGTAAACACATCTGTATACAACAAAGCACAAATGTCGTAGAACAAAAGCATCAGTGATTGAAATGTTTATTGTTTGTGATGTGTGTCTATGTATGTATTAACACGATGTACTGAACGGGGTGAGAATAGCTTGAGCTACCTCATCCCTTTGTGTGTATTTTACCTCAATAAACTTATTTCAATTTCAATTCAGTTCAATCAGTGATTGAATCAGACGTGTCTCCAATGTCTCCCATCCCATACTGGCCTCCAATTTCGTTATAGAGTTTGAGTACCAATTAGGGTTGCCCTCGAGCAGACTGAGGGCAGCTATAATACAGTAGAGCTCAAACTCAATTTAATAAACCCGAGACAGTGTGTATTTTGTACAAGCTACAAGTATCATCCTCCTCCGTTGCAGGAAGTTGACTTATCTATTGGTCGTTCAACATACAGTAGTCGGCAAATTCTTACGTTCGGTTATAATTCAGAAATATACAGCGCCTGCTGAAGAACATTAGATCAAATGTAAAGAATATCTGAAAAAAAACTTATTCACATACCTTATATAACCATATAATTGAATGAGAACAAACGCAAGAGTTTTGAGGCAGCTCACAAAAGTCCATATACTTTTTTGTCCGGATGACAAGTACTAACCCAAAATCCTAGTCTTGTATCCCAAGTTGGTCTACTGTAGAGTGAGCACACACAGCACGCTTGTAAGTCTCTTGTAAGCTACTTATCTCCAGACCTTGTGCCGTCAATATCAACAAGGAGGCCTAGTCGACGACCGGACCGCGGGGACACTAAGCCCCGGAAGCACCTCAAGGTAGGTACAGTTAAATATGGTCATCAATCCACTTGTAACTATCACAAATTTCAACTAATAAACCCTGTAACCAGTACCTCAGAAATGTATAAATATTTCAAGTTGAAATATTAAGGTTCAGTTGTTTAGGTCAACGTGTTACTCTGTAATCTTTATGTCAATTAACTATCGTAATTGTGAACAGTGTGTTGATGTACAAGTTAAACTGTGCATCTACCACTTTAATGCTGGGACTTAGGTAAGCAAACATTGAGGTTAAGTTCCCGTGTCTATTGTGTCTATATTTATTTTCCACTGTCAAACTTCAGGATTCATGTGAGTGCATTTGAAATCAAGAGGATAGATTTGCGGTGCCCTTATATTCACAGGATGGGGTATGGTGTGCACTACCACTCACAGGATGGGGTATGGTGCCCACTACCACTCACAGAATGGGTATAGGTGTACACTACCACTCACAGGATGGGGTATGGTGTGCTCTACCACTCATAGGATGGGTATGGTGTGCACTACCACTCGCAGGATGGGTATGGTGTGCTCTACCACTCACAGGATGGGGTATGGTGTACACTACCACTCACAGGATGGGGTATGGTGTACACTACCACTCACAGGATGGGTATGGTGTGCTCTACCACTCACAGGATGGGGTATGGTGTACACTACCACTCACAGGATGGGGTATGGTGTGCTCTACCACTCACAGGATGGGTATAGGTGTACACTACCACTCACAGGATGGGGTATGGTGTACACTACCACTCACAGGATGGGTATGATGTGCACTACCACTCACAGGATGGGGTATGGTGTACACTACCACTCGCAGGATGGGGTATGGTGTACACTACCACTCATAGGATGGGGTATGGTGTGCTCTACCACTCGCAGGATGGGTATGGTGTGCACTACCACTCACAGGATGGGGTATGGTGTGCTCTACCACTCACAAGATGGGGTATGGTGTGCTCTACCACTCACAGGATGGGTATGGTGTGCACTACCACTCACAGGATGGGGTATGGTGTACACTACCACTCGCAGGATGGGGTATGGTGTACACTACCACTCACAGGATGGGGTATGGTGTACACTACCACTCACAGGATGGGGTATGGTGTACACTACCACTCACAGGATGGATATGGTGTGCACTACCACTCACAGGATGGGGTATGGTGTACACTACCACTCGCAGGATGGGGTATGGTGTACACTACCACTCACAGGATGGGGTATGGTGTGCTCTACCACTCACAAGATGGGGTATGGTGTGCTCTACCACTCGCAGGATGGGTATGGTGTGCACTACCACTCACAGGATGGGGTATGGTGTGCTCTACCACTCACAAGATGGGGTATGGTGTGCTCTACCACTCGCAGGATGGGTATGGTGTGCACTACCACTCACAGGATGGGGTATGGTGTGCTCTACCACTCGCAGGATGGGTATGGTGTACACTACCACTCACAGGATGGGTATGGTGTGCACTACCACTCGCAGGATGGGTATGGTGTACACTACCACTCACAGGATGGGGTATGGTGTGCTCTACCACTCACAGGATGGGTATGGTGTACACTACCACTCACAGGATGGGGTATGGTGTGCTCTACCACTCACAGGATGGGGTATGGTGTGCTCTACCACTCACAAGATGGGGTATGGTGTACACTACCACTCACAAGATGGGGTATGGTGTACACTACCACTCATAGGATGGGGTATGGTGTACACTACCACTCACAGGATGGGGTATGGTGTGCTCTACCACTCACAGAATGGGGTATGGTGTGCTCTACCGCTCACAGGATGGGGTATGGTGTGCTCTACCACTCACAGAATGGGGTATGGTGTGCTCTACCACTCACAGGATGGGGTATGGTGTGCTCTACCGCTCACAGGATGGGGTATGGTGTGCTCTACCGCTCACAGGATGGGGTATGGTGTGCTCTACCGCTCACAGGATGGGGTATGGTGTGCTCTACCGCTCACAGGATGGGTATTAGGTACTATATATCTAAAATCTACGAATCTCAAACGTAGAAAATATTAAATGGCAGTGGTGGTGATCTGCGTCGGGTTGTGGTGGTCGTAATAGCGGCGAGGACGACCGGTCGTGCGTCGTTGTTAGTGTAGATGACGGGTACACCTGAGGTGGTCTTCCAGGATGAGGTCGAAGATGGTGCTGGGAGCGGCGCCCCGTAGAAGAGGTGCTGTTCTTAACTTTGGTAACCTAGCTTTATGACGTCGTGTACTCTCATACAGCTAGATAACCAAAGAGAAAATCAGCGCCAATCCCGAACCGTGATGGCTGTTCGGGACCCGACTCCGGGCAGGCTTGGGGCAGTGCTCCTCTCTTTTCCTCTCTCTCTCTCTCTCTCTCTCTCTCTCTCTCTCTCTCTCTCTCTCTCTCTCTCTCTCTCTCTCTCTCTTCTCTCCTCTCTCTCTCTCTCTCTCTCTCTCTCTCTTCTCTCTCTCTCTCTCTCTCTCTCTCTATCTCTCTCTCTCTCTCTCTCTCTCTCTTCTGGTCAGACTCATCTTCCTCTCTCTCTCTCTCTCTCTCTCTCTCTTCCTCTCTCTCTTCTCTCTCCCCTCTCTTTCTCTCTCTCTCTTCTGGTCTCTCTCGCTCTCTCTCTCTTTCTCGCTCTTCTAATCTCTTAGTTCCATAACCTCGAAATTTAAATAAAAAAGTGGCAATTAGGATTTAAAATACAGTACTGTATGTGTACTTTCCTGCAGGAAGCTAATGAGACTAAGTCTTTCTGATGGAAGCTATAATTATTGAATTATATGAATACAATAAATGATAATTCAATAATTAGTTGATTATTATGAAGCTAAATTAAAAGAACATATTTAAGTTGAGTTGATATGTGCGTATATCACGAAAATAAAAATGTGATTAAGAATGTGACAATGTCAGACCACGGAGGAAAAATGAAACAGGAATTTCCTTAAGTACTTTCGTATATTAAATACATCTTCAGAAGGTGTATATTAAATACACCTTCTGAAGATGTATTTAACATACGAAAGTACTTAAGGAAATTCCTGTTTCATTTTTCCTCCGTGGTCTGATATTGTCATATATATATATATATATATATATATATATATATATATATATATATATATATATATATATATATATATATTATTACAAAGGTCGAATTCTAAAAAAAGTGTGATAAACTCCACTGAAATGTTAATGCTGAAACACTGTTGTAAGGTACAGCATCTCCATTTAAAAATATATTTGCAGCATACCCGGTAAATGTACTTCGCACTTTGGGCGTTCGATTTCCGCAGATTTG